CTTCCCAAAGGAGGCAATTCCTACCTGCCCCATCTACCTCGGGAAGGGGGGAGCCCCCGGCTCAGCTGGCTGGGGCACCCGCATCCCCGTGATGGGTCACCTCGCTTCAGAGCTTGGGCCTGCTGGAGGGAAAAGGAGGGCTCTGGGGCGGCTCTGCCTGTCCTGCCCACCACAGGACACCTCCACGGTCCTGGCCTGGGAGCCCCAGGGGGATGTATCCAAAGGGATCCCTCTTTTAGGGCAGGATGCCAAGGGTCCCATCCCTGCCAGGAGTGTGGAGGTTCAGGTGGCTGCTTCCAAAGCCAGATGGGAAAGTTGCCCAGGAGCCAGGGCTCGGAATGACCATCCCAATGCACAGGGTCCTTGTCGCCCTGTCCCAAAAGGGCAGTCATGTCCCTTCTTCTCCCGGCAGGACGACAGGCTCAGAGCAGGGCAGAGAGGCAGGGGAGAGGCTGGCACGGGGGCGTCGCGGTGGGGATGGGGCTTCTTTTCACTGTTGTAGCTGGCGTTTTCACTCTTCCCCTGCTGCAGTAGCGGGTGCCCGCCTCCTTCCCACCCTGCCTCCATCGGCACATTAATCCAGGAGGCTTCCCGCAGCGAAGGGGGCTTCACCGGAAAGACCTCCTCCTCCTCCAGCCATCACTGCTTCCCACCTCACCCAGCTCTCCCTCTCCTCCCTTCTCTCACCCATGGGGCGATGCTTTCGTTCGGGGCTTCCCAAGCGGCCGGCAGCATCCGGCACAGCTCCGGGCGGGAAGGCGAGCATCTTCCTCCGCACATCCCCAGCTTCGCTGTCACGCCGTGGTGGCTGACCCCTTCCCTCGCACAGCACGGCTGCGCCTTGGCTCTGCCGCACCTCCCTGCACTGTAAAAATGTGTGTGTGGGTGTCGGACGTGGTGCCGTCGTCTCCTCGTTACACTCGTGTTGTGGGGGGCATGGACGGGTAGGGACACGGCAGGCAGGCAGCGGCCCGCAGGGACCCCCTCGCTGCACATCAGTCTTAGGGTTCAGGTCACAGAAAGGGTTTGGGGATCCTTTCTGAGCCCGTGCTGCTTCTGCCCAGCCTGGCCGCACCTCCTTGGGCATCTCACTCTGCTCCAGCCCCTGGCGGCCTGCTCCTCCCAGCCCCACTCCCCCGGCAGGCAGCAGTTTGCCTGCCCAGGGCAAGTTCCCCATTAAACTGGGTGTTTTTTCCCTGCTGTGAACCATTTTAGAGACCTGGAAGCTGACTCATGCCCTTTGTAGAGGGAGAGGTGCCTGCTCAGGGGTGCAAAGGGGCAGAGCTGTGGCCAGGGCCAAGCAGGGGCCCAGGCTGTGACATCTTGGCTTTCATGCCCTGGGCAAGGACTGATTGGTACCATCCCAAATTTCACCATATGCGGCTAGGAGTGGACATACCGGGTGCCCCAGGGGAGCGGGGAGGCTCTTCCAGGGCAGAGGCAGGACCTGTGTCT